CACTCGAATAAAAAAAATTCAAATGTGATATCCTATAAATTTTTGTAGTTTATATAACATAACTTCTAATTGTAACAAAAATAATTTGCCTAATCTCAACTAAATGGTGAAATGTTCATAGCGCAAAAACCCTAATTTTAGAAAAAAAAATTGTAAACTCGAATTGGAAAGAAAAAATCATAAATTAAATTGTTTGTGTTTCTTACTGTTTTAATATAATGATTTTTTAAAAAATTAAATTGAGTTTATTAATATTATGGTTTATTTAACTATTTATAAAAAGGTAAGGGTTTAAAAACCCACAAAAAAAGTTAAGGGTTTTTTCTATGTTTTTAAGAAAGGTGAGGGTTTTTTTACCCATTTTTCCTCAAAAATTTTAATGATTGCACTTACCTAAAACCTATAATTACTTTTCCATAGTTTTTTAAACAAAAAATTGTTATAATTGTTAATAATCTATGGGTTTGAATGGTATATATCTATTTTCACGTTTTGAAAACGTGATTCCGCTGAATATATATCAATATACTATATTTGAGGAAGTTCATTAAGTATACTATCTCAATATATCACTCACAAAAACTTACGCGTGATAATAAAACATGAAAAATAACAAACGATTTTTTAATTTATTCCGCACATTTTAAAATTGTAACTATATATTAGAGAAAGTTCATTCATCTACTAAATAGTACATTTTGGCGTTTTAGAAAAAAAATCATTTATATTCAGCTTAAAATTGTCGTTCTATCGATTCCAATATTAATCTGAGATACCAATCAAGCACATATCTCGTTTGATTAGAAGTTTGCTGATTTCATTGTTGTCATCTATAGATATCAAAATCACGAGCATGATGTATGGGCTAATGTTCTTTTTTCTACTATGAAAATTGATAATTTATATTTTTTTCATTTTATAATATTAATTTATTTAAGAAAATTTGAATGAAGTTGAAACTATCTATATACTCCCTCCGTTTCATATTAAGTATCGTTTTAGCCTTTGAATTTTGTTTTAAAATAAGTGTCGTTTTGTATTTTCAATGCAGATATTTGATAAAATTTTCAGTTTTGTTCCTACTAATTTAATGTATTGACCAATGAAAAAATAATAAAATATATAGATAATGGATAAAACAGAAAATTTAATTGTTTTCTTAACATGTGTGTAAAAATCTTAAACGACACTTATTATGAAACAGATGGAGTATTAAATAAAAAAAATATTGTATATTATTTTGGTTACATGGATAGTACTAGGGTGAGATTTTCTAGACTATATTTGGTAATAGAAATAATAGATCTAATTGTTTAGATATTTATACCCTTAATGAATTTTTTTTGTTTTATGTCAATGGTATATATTGTTATATTCAACAAATTTAATGTTAATCTTCTAAAATGTACCCCCTCTTTGATATTAGTAGATTACGACGGTCCACAAAACCCACCTACATGAAAAAACAGAGATATAAGAAAATTATAACTATCAAAAAGAATTTCATAAAATTCAATGGTAGTAGTAGTATGGGAAAGAACTAATTTATGGTAATGTAATGGTTAAATGATACTTATTTTAAGTTGAGAACTAAAAATGTCCCTTTTTTCTTCTTTATTAGTTTTCAAAATCATAATTGTTGTTTACAATCATAATCTACGTTACTACGTATGATAAAGATACCACAGTTGAGTACGGATTTTTGGGTATGGTTTCGGTTTAGTTTGGATTGGTTAAACTAGATTAGACATCCTTAATGAAAACTACTAGGCAAAAACAAACATTAAAGACTTTCTTTGTGATGGCTATGTGTAATTTGCAGGATAGAGGATGCAATTGAGGTATTAGAGCACGATCTGAAGCTGAGAGAGCAAAAGCTCGGGAGCGAATCCGGATTTTGAGGACGAAAAGAAGTGTCTGGCCGAGCTTTTGAAGGAAACTGGGCGGTCGCGGAACTACAAAGCCAAGTCGCTCCAGAATCTGATTGATCCTAACGCAAGACTTCCCAAGAAAGAGTATTCTGCTAAGAAATGGTCCAGCGTCGGTTTCAAGTTCTGAGAAAAGAGTAATAATCATCCACATATATATTCAATATCATATTTTATTATAATTGTTATTTTTTATTTGATCTAATTTTCTCTATCATAAATCTGAGGTTGATTACTTAATTTCATGTATAGTGTTTTTATTTGAGTTTGGTGAAATACTGCTAAGATGGTGAGCTGTTTGTTTGAGTTTGAGAAGTTCTTTAATTCAATCAATGTTTTTTTCATAATTTTTTTTTCTAACTTGTGTAATTTATAAATTATGGATACATGCAAGTCTTCTCCTATTTACTTGTACAAATTTGATTTTTGTTTCAGCTACTATGTGGCTTGTATGATAAATTAATGCAGTCGAAACTTGATATGATATTCGGATTACGACGGTCCAGACAAAAACCAACGTACATCAAAAACAGAGAGGCTTCATAAGAAATTTATGACAATCAATTTTATTTCTTAATTCATAAATTATACGGTAGAAATATGTGACAACCAATTCCATTGTAATCTAGTGATTATGAATTGAGTTTCCTTAATTTGGTTGGCAACTAAAAATGTCTTTAGTGACAAAAATATACAATTTTTTTACAACCTGCAAAAACTAGTTTAGATTAAATCAAACAAATCAAACTCCAACCTACAAAAAATCTGTGTATACAAAATTTTACACCGCCGGCACCATCGACATTTTTGAAGGTTGGGGTTTGATTTGTCTGAAATTTATTTTGACTGGAATGCAGCTGAAAAATGACTAAATGCACTGCAACCTCATCATTTAGGCTTCGCGTAACCTGAACTTGTTTTCTTTCTTCTTTTTTTTCGGTTCATTCTAGATTCCGATCAAGTCTTATGGTTAAAATACTCATCGAACAATCCTCACAAAACACCACACATATATATTCCTACTCGCAGGATGCGTTTCTACTGACATAATGTTATCGTTGTTAACTTTTTGTTTGACACAATAATTTATCTTGCAAAATTTTCTTAGTTATAGATTTAATTTACGCCATGATAGCTTGATTTTGTTTCTAACTTCAGAAAAAGTTGCAAGGTTCTCTAATGAAAAGATTTCGTGTTAATTCGAAAACGGCCTCAAACCTACTCTAATCCGGACTCTAAATAATATTATAGGTTGAAAGCTTTGTAATTATTGTTTACTAAAACAAGAGAAGAAAACATTATTACTTACTCTCCTTTGGAAATTTCTGTTTGTATTATGCTGTATATAGATGAATAAATGCCCTGAACGTTTAAATGTGTGTTGGTAGATGTCATTTTACATCATTCCTAGAGGTCTCTTCTATCAAATTTAGTTGCGTATATAAATATAGATGTCTTGTGGTTTCTTGCAAGGAAATAAACAGAGATCATATACAATTTCATACACATCCACACACATGTAGATGTATTTTTGTTTGTTGCATGGATATAGACATACATCCATTCACATTTCCTAGTATATACATTAACCTAATGACCTAAGGTTCTTGAGAAATACTTCTTTAATTTCACCAACTCTTCTGGAATGTGAGTTTCTTATATTTTTGTTGGTAAAAACTATTTGAACACAATTATCAAAAGTTAAAATGTTTGACCACATTATTCTTAGTAATTCAATCGGTAAATGTTATTCTTCTATGCCAAAGCCTTTAATTTTAACTCTGAATTGTATACTAGTGGTTTGGTTGGGAGAAAAGTGGGCACGATAAAAAGAACAACATTTAGTTTGCCTCCTAGTTATTTTTCTAAATGAGTGTTTCGTATCATATACAACACTGATGACATGATCAAATTACCTAACAAAAGCTTGTTTTTTGGGGCTTCGAAATCGGCTAAAATTTTTACACATGATTTCTTCTTTTACAATAGTAAGATTTTTTTTAAAAAAACACACATTTGAATAACGTCAGATTTCCCTTTAAGAAAAGAAGAAGAAAAATCTCACAAAATTAAAACTCCATTATTTTTTGGACATCTAAAAAACTAAATTAATTTTGATATGTGCCTAATAAATGCATTGTAATAAGCAGATAAAGCCAAATGAAATGTAGTAGTAGTATAATTTAATGACACGCTAATACTTTTTTCTTTTTCTTTTTGGTTTTATAATACTTATTAATTATTATCCATAAATTTAATATGTTTAAAAAGTTAACATCAGCCAGTCTACTATCATTGAAACTGTAGTGAGAAAATCTAATTACATATCTAGTTTCTTAAGTACAAAATAACTCTTTTATCACTGGTTTACTATAAGTTGGTTAGAAAATTATATACTCGATCCCTTCCTACTATATTAAGTGATGTCTTTAACAAAAAAAAAAAAAAACTATATTAGGTGATGTTTTTATTAAATTCTTTTATTATATATGACATTTTCAACTTTCGATACAAAATTGGTTATTTTAATTTTTTGTGACCATTTATATTCTACATTTTGTTTAATTATTAGTTGAATTTCTTAAGATACAAAATAAATAATATTTTAACTAAAAAAAGCAAACTAATTAAATGATTTCCTAATCTATAATTAATAAATACTTCAAACATATTTTAAAGTGAAAAATGAATATTACCAAGACATTTGTCCTTATATATACAAGTCTCATAAATGTGTGTTTTAATTCAATACCCTCCAAAATTAGTTTAAAAAGTTAAAAACAAGAGTTACTAAATTGTACTTACTTTTTCTTTCACACGGTGCATGCATTGTATTCACACCTATGCGTTCTCTATGATCTCTCTCTATATAAACACAAAACACTACCCAATCGACCAACATTCTTCTCTGATTATAAGCAAAAAAGGGTTTCTCACATTGCTCGATAATTAGTTAATTTATTCTTCTTTTCATCACCACCAATTTTTTTTTTTTTTTTTTTTTTTTGAAAAATTTCATCATCACCAATTACACTCAAAATTATGGTGGTTGCACATTTGAACCTTCTTCGGAAGATTGTGGGGATAATAGGTTAGTCCAGATTTTTCACATCTACAAGTTATTTTCAATATCATGTTTTTTTTTTCTTCTTAACTTGGGATGATCTTGTTTGCAGGAAACTTCATCGCTCTATGTCTGTTCTTGTCACCAACGTAAGTATTTTACTATATGATTTAAATGAAATTCTAGAAACAATGAAAGATACGTGAAATTAAAGAGAGATTCATAAAAACTAAAATCGAATTTCTTAAAGAAAAAACTTATTTCATGAATTTAAACACATGGTTCCTCTTGAAAGATCAGAGAGTTTTTTTTATTCTTTCTCACTGAAAGCTTTCAAAAATTTCTCTGTGTAATCATAATGTTAAACGTTGATATTTTTTGTTTCTCATAGTATAATGTTTTTTCCTATTATATTAATAAATTAAGAAAGTTTATTTATGTACTAGATTTTTTTTTCAAAACAAGAGAAAAGTTAAAAAGTATTTATCATTAATAAAGGACTAATACTTTTAATTAATGTCTCATTACATCAGGCCAACATTTGTCCGGATAGTGAAAAAGAAGTCAGTGGAGGAATATTCACCAATACCTTATTTAGCGACTCTCATAAACTGTTTGGTTTGGGTTCTTTACGGGTTACCAACGGTGCACCCGGACAGTACATTGGTCGTTACAATCAACGGAACGGGGATTTTGATCGAAATCGTTTTCCTTACCATCTTTTTCGTTTATTGTGGCCGCCAAAAACAACGGTTGATAATATCCGCTGTTATAGCGGGTGAAACCGCGTTCATAGCTATTCTTGCGGTTTTGGTATTTACTCTCCAACACACAACCGAAAAACGTACAATGAGTGTTGGAATCGTATGTTGCGTTTTCAACGTTATGATGTACGCTTCTCCATTATCTGTTATGGTACGTAACGTTTCATTTTCTTTTTTGGATTTAAAAGCTTTTGTTCTTCTTTGAGAAGTTATTGGTCCATGTATTTATTTTTCTCCGACTAAATTATGGTATAGGAACCAACATTTCATTAACCATTTTCATTTTTTTGTTGTTGTCCTTGCATGAAATATAAAGAAAATGGTAATAAAAACAAAAAGTGTGGAGTTCATGCCGTTTTGGTTATCGGTAGCTGGATTTCTAAACGCAGGCGTTTGGACAATTTATGCTCTCATGCCTTTCGACCCATTCATGGCTGTGAGTTTTTTCTCTGTCTCTTTCATCAAAATTTCATGTTTCACCTATAAAACTATATTTTAAACTTATGTGACATACCTGAGTAAAGAATTTTCATGAAATAAAAATGAAAGAAAATTGCATATAGTATAGTAAAATTTTAATTGATTTTTTTTTTTTTCACAATGGAATTTTGTAGATACCAAATGGGATTGGAAGTTTATTTGGACTGGCCCAATTAATATTGTACGGTGCCTACTATAAGTCCACCAAAAAAATTATGGCGGAAAGAGAAAAACAACCTGGTTACATCGGTTTATCAAGTGCGATCGCTCATACTGAATCTGAGAAAACTGCGAATACCAACCAAGAACTTAACAATGTTTAATTTGGTCTTCTTGTGTTATTATTCACCTTCGATTATCAGAATTTTGAATTTTTCCATCCAGGAATTTTTATGAATAAGATGAAAAATTTCATTATTTTGTTATGTTTTGAACTTCAAACTTTGTAATGTAATTTTGATTTGCGGGGAGCAATAAACTATTTTTCAAAGTAATGGGTGTCATGTTACAAGTTTTTAACATTATGTGGGGTCAAATTAGTATAAATCAATCATCGTCGTCACTAGTTTTTGGTGATTATCCCTAATATTTCTCGTTCTTTGATTGCTTTGAGATGCTTTTGATATATTATCTATTGGAGAACAGAATGTCGAACCATTTATTAGCTAAAACTTTGTATTGGTGAACTAAACCAGATCAAACTTTGACACCTTGTATCTGATAACTCCTACAGGATGGAGAATCATCAATTCTTCAGACTATGTGCTTAGTCAAAGTTCATGTTAGGTATATAAATATAATACTCTTTTTCATGTGTTTAATTCTGCTTGGTATTGATAAGTAAACTGCAAGATTCAACCTCTTGGCTTAGCTGATAAAGAAAACAATAGCCACCCCTTAATAAAACTTATAACATTTAAACATTTGATCTGACTTTCATTGGAAAAAATAACGTTTGATCTGATTTGGTGGTTGAGCCAAGCACAATGGAGACGTTATTGTTCTCGTGGGAAAGTACTGGAACCATATCAAGCAACTCTTCAAATCTTCTTTCTTCAAGATAACTTCCAAACATTACGATCATATTCTCTAAAGTCTTTGTGATTTTAAGCACAAGTTCAATGAATGAAGCCATGTGCATCGACTCAACATTCTCGCGGATAATGTTCTTAAAGACCCTCGCTTCCGAGCTCCAGGTTTTATCAGTTTTCGAGCCATGCCTACGCAAGTAGTAGTCAAGAAACTCGTCCTGTATAACATAAAAAGATTTTTTCATTTATGCAAACAAAATGTCAATATCTTGGATTCTTGAAACTCGAAAAATAGTTAGAATGGTCAAGGTAAATAATAGAGGACTAAGGTAAATATATATACCGGTATGATGCGTCCCTCATCCTTTATGTGTACGGTTAGCTTCTTTAACTCATGTGAGCTTTGTACCAACTTTACCATACCAGGAATCACATATTGAGAAATCATTGTCTCAAATGTCAAAGCTTTGAATTTGAACAACGGAAGAGGTAGACAACGAAGCTCGATAAGAGAGAAAATCTAACAAAAAAAAAGCACATACATATGTAAGGAAACACCAAAACACAAACCTATCTAGCATGGAAGCAAGAGAAGAATCATTGATCATTGGCATATACAGTAAAACCTTTATAAATTAATAATGTCGAGACCATGATATGTTATAAATTTATCTATATAATGATTTTGATTGGTAACTCCGTACCGCTTTAACATACCTTGATAAAGTTTTCCCCAAAAGTAAGCTTCTCTACATTCCGCAGCTTCTCAATCATGTTTTGAACAAACTGTTGAAGAAAATCAGCATCAAATGCTTCTTGTGAGTTAAATCCAATGTCTAGTCTAGCTTCCGTTAGAGACGAGACATCAACTAAATTACATGGCCAGTAAGGAGGAACAGTCAAAGTAAGATTATGGATATTTGGCGCAACAATATGAATTTGCCCCGAAACCCAACAATTGTTAGCGATTTCTAAAGTAGTCAAACGCAGCGATTTGCTGAGATCAAGAACCTTGAAGTTATAGCAACGGCACATATACAACGTTAAGCTTTCGAGAACCGGACAACCAGATAGAATCTTAGGCATAGTAGATCCGTCAAAGAGGTTACAGTTCCTCAAGACTAGCTCCTTGAGTGATGTCCAAGATACGGTGTCACGTGGAACCATCCGATCATGAAACGCTAAACGAAGAGTAAGTTGTTTGACAGATGAATTGATGTAGAAGGAATCAGGTATAGTATAATCAGAAGAAGCACGTGAACCTAAATCTATCGTCATATTTTCAACGTTTCGGGACTTGGCGAAATCGATCCAACTTTCAATGTAAGGAGTGTTTTTAATAGCGGTGAGACAGAAGTGGAAACTCATCATCTTTGGAGCTTTGTAGTGAGATAAGGTTTCGTTTATGGAATCAGCACAGAGGTAATTCCCACACCATTCGAAGTTGAGAGATGGTGTATTGCACCATACATGCCTCCATTGTTTTGATAAGATGGAAGTACGGATGGCGAATTTTGTTGGAAGAGAGGAGAGTATTGTTTGGAGGATCACATCAGGCAGAGTGCTGATTAAATCTCGGTGGTTAGGGCTTCTTATAGCGGCGGTTGCGCCGTCTCGGTCCTCCTCCGCCATTCACTAGTTTTCTTAGAGTGGCTGCTACGAAAACAGACGTGTTTAAATTATATATTTTTTTAGCGGCCCAATATATTTTTATTACCGGCCCAATGTATTTATTGGTTTTAGTCAAGATTCGTGAAAAATTTGAGTTAGCAAAATCGTAAGTATATAAAATGGATTTGCATGTATATACTATAATTTATTGAAGAACGGTGACAAATTAGTAGCTAATAAAGACGGATTTGTAAAGAAGAATTAGTGATAAGTATGATGAAAAAAAAAAAAAAAAAAGTACGTATGAAAAATTGGAGTTAAAAAAATATGTTAAACCATTTAGACTAACATGTTAAGCAACTACAAGTATGCAAAAACCTCATGTGAATCCAGTGAGAGTGAGAGATAAAAAACAGTCAAGGGACCAATAGTGAAGGAGACACGACATGCTTTTCATTTATTCAGAGCTTTATTCCTTGACCCTTGTCTTATAAGAAAACAAACTTGAAATAAAATCACAATGACAAGATCAAGAGGCATAGATTTAAAATCAAATCACAATGACAAGTTCGCCAATTGGGTTTGTGGGATCGGGTTGAAGAAGAAATATTTGGAATAAGCTTTCTTTGGTAACACGTATCAAACTATGTATTGAGACTTTTTTTTTAAAAAAATCTATATATTGAGACTGAAAAAAATCAAAGAATCAAATGTACGTATTTTAATGATGACTTTTTGGATCAAAACCAAAAAGGGATGCAATAAGAACACAATAACAACTCTTTCAACAAGCAAACATATATGTCTTTATTACGAAAGAGAAGATAAGAAAAGGGGATGTTAAGATTTTCAATTTCTCAAATGATTAAACAACAATGTATCTATACGGTGAGTATTTATACTAGGGTTTTGTGCAAAAAAACTTTCAAAGTTGCTAATTTTTTCAATTTTACCCTTCACCTCAAAAAAATGTAGAATAACCCAATGAAGTTTAAAATAATAGGCAATAAGCCCGTTTTCGTTATTATCAAGTTTTTAAAATTTTGATAAATAATATATTAAATCGAAGTCTTCGAGACGAGGAGTTCAACTCTACTTTTATAATTTTAAAAATTAAATGTATGTGATCGTGAAAACGTTTACAATATATACATAAGGGCTATATAGCTTATTATTTTGGACTTCATAAAATTATTTTGCATTTTTTAGAGGTGGAGGGTAAAATTGCAAAAATTGGCAACTTTGAAGTTTTTTTTTGCACAAAATCTTTTTACTAGTATGCAGTAAACTATACAATTGTGGTTAACTTACCGGATCTAATCTCCAATAGTCTTTATTCATTTTTTTTGTTTACAATGTATAATATTGGAGTTGGCCTTAGCTTGGCACATCTGAATCTTCAGATGTTGTAACCTTGATTTCTAGTATCTTTGCATGAGTCCAACCTTGCAACAACTATGTCAATCCGTTCCTCGACCAAGCTTTTGTGGTCTGCAATTCGTTTCTTAACCTAGCTTGTGTGTTCTCCAAACTCTCAACTCGTCTAAAATCAAAACATTGCTTGATTGCTTTAGCATGAACACAGTAGAGCTTCACCAAGTGGTCTTCAGGAGAATCATTTCTCCCAACAAAACTCAATATAGGCTCAGTGATGCTAAACTTAGACAAATAATCCATCCTTACCTCATTTAGAGAAGATCCATAGTTCAAATTAATGCACTGCATATGCATCCTTACTTATTGCATTTGCTAATTGCTAGTTAGCATATTCAGATCGAAGATAAGCATGAAATTATTGAAAAAAACAATTTCAACTACTTCATTTCCACAATCTGAGATCCATGTTTTTATTTCATGGTTTAGAAGTCTCTATGTGACAATGGTGTTGTATTCCGGTCGTCTTGAAACTTTACAAACTTGACAGGCCATATTGCACCACTATGATAGTTAAAGTCTGTGTTGAGTTCTTCCCTATCATCTTGCTATATATTCAACATGCCATAAAGTGAAGAAGAAGCCATGTCGGTTATATATTAATGTGTAGCCATAATTTGCACATAATCTGCACACCATCAATTAGTTCATCAAGGGGGCATGAGAGAGGTGCCTTGGGTAAGATTGTTCCATTGTTGCCATCTTTTGTAATATCAATTTAAAAAACACTACTACCAACTAAAACAACCAAAATTTTCTGCCAAAAAACATTTATTTGAATTAGTGTAAAAGAGAAACATTAATGCTTGCCAAAGAAGGCCATGTCTTTCACTCTAAGAATACAAATGAAGGTAGTTCAAAATAGAATATTTCAGTAAGCAAAGGCAGTTAGAAAATAATATTTTAGTAAGCATAAGAGATGACAAACCAACCTGAAAATGGCATGTCAACAAAGCTCTCAATCCGAGATTATTTCTACTCAGAACTTCAATTTCTCCTCCTTTCAATGCGTAGCATAAGTAGATCTTATTCAACGCAATTTGCTGACCTAGTACTCGCTCAGAATCAAAAAGATTCGAACAAATAATAGATATCTCTAGATGCTCTTCAAATAAATTTATGTCAATGTCGCAGTTTGTTAACTCATGATCCAATCTCATTCCCTTGGGTGATGGCAATATCTGTGGGAGCACTCATCACTGGTTGTCAAGACAATATCTCTTCAAGTTTACTTGAATGATGTTATTCGGCGAACCAAAGTACAGTCAAAATTTAACAGTCACAGAGCTAAATTATGTTCTTTTTTATTGTAGAATCATTAAATGCAACCATTTTCAAAATAAAAAATGTTTGTAGGAACGACACTTGAGCTAAATTTTAATTGAATGTTTTTCTTTTAATATATAGAAGATATATTTAATAAGAATTACTTTTTTAATGAAGTACAATTCATCTAAAATAGATTCTCTTTGTTTCATAATATAAGATATTTTGGTTAAAAGTACATAATTAAAAAGCTGATTAACTTATTTCGTTTGTGTTTTTACATTAAAAACATTATCTAATATTTAATTAAAAATAATTTTGCGAATAATAAATTTTACTACATAGTACAGATAGTCACAAAGTTTATTTTTTTTTGCATAAACACTTGAATTTTTTTTTTGAACAACTTTGAATTTTTTTTCCTAAACATCCAATATTGTAAAACAAAATAAAATACCTAAAATATCACATAATATAAAACAGATGGGAATATAAGTCTTCGAAAAATGGAATATAGACAATATAATTGTACTCCCTTAAACTATGTACACTGGGGTGTTGAATAATTTATTCAACTGTTGAACTCTTACAATGAGGGTGTTGAAAAAGCAAAAAAAAAATCTTATGTAGATTAAACACAGTTGAAAACAAAAAATCGGGAACCACATATGACATGTGTTTTCTTTTTACTGGATGTTGAAATTTGTAAGATTTTCTTCTCGCCCTAACTACTTAAGATCAATTATTGTATTTTAAATAATTTTTTTTTTCTAGTTTTTATATCAAAATTTATCATTTTTTTTCTATAAATAGATACTTGTTTCATTTGATTTGGATATAGAAAAAATCTATTTTACTATAACTTTTTTATTATCTTTCCATAAACTTTTGTTTAAACTTTTAACATCTATGTTAGAAAATAGATTTCAACAAAAAGATTATAAAATAAAAGATAAAACTATTTTTAAAATTTATTTAACTTTAATTATTTTAATTTAATTTTACTGATAAGGGTAAATTAATATGTAACAAAAAAAATATAAATAAGAATATGAGATAAAAAAAAATAGTGGGGTAGGGTGTTGAATTTATTAAACAAACTATTGTAGATATTAAAAATTAAATATATGTTGAATGATTATGTGGAAGAGAGAAAATGTGTGGTGGAGTGTTCAAAGTAAAAAAAAAACAAAAGACGAAAAAAAAAAAGTAAAAAAAAACAAAAAAAAAGGATTATGAAAAAGCAAACCAATGTACATATATTATATTGAACTGTGAAAATCGCGAATTCCAACGAGTAACCTAACATTGTTTGATTTGATTTTCTCATACTGTATTATCCATCTTCTGATTATCAGATTTTTTCCATCATTACTCCAATATGAATTTTTTTTTTTGTCATCTGTTGAAATATATTAATCCAGAAGGATAAAGAAACTTTACAAATACAGAGGAAGTTTGAAACAGGGTAGCAAAACCACTGCAGTACTAACGAGATCTAGGCACCTTTAAGATATAAGGCCTTTACAAAAGAATACCATCATAGACAGAGCAATTACAAGGAATCAATACAAAAAGCAAAGAGCAGAGGATTACACTCTCTCACCAGCGAAAAGGGAGTTTAACCAGTACGGATGGCTTGTCGCCACATAAGATTGAAGACGACATTCCTCGGTAACACTTTTCGCAATGAGATGAGCTCCTCTGTTTGCAGCTGATCCTTCCACCATTAATCTCCAGAACTAAACCAACCTCAAAGCTCTCCATAGCTCTTCCGCATGATATCTAAAAGAGGGCCACGCATTTGGCCTCAAAATCGCACCCACCAAATCAGCAGCATCTATAGCAAAGACTACATGGTTTAATCTATGGCTACACATACTCCAATATGAATATAATGGAAATTTTCATTACTTCATTTTCCAATGTCAAACTTCGTAAAGTAAGTTTCCAATGTGAAAAAAAAAAAAAAAAATAAGTTTCGAATGTGTGTTATTTCTGGGAGCAATAGACGTTTTTAAAGTATTGGCTGTACTGTTAAAACGTTTAAGATTATGCGGGGTCAAATTAAAATAAACCGATCGTCGTCATTAGTCAACGTCACTCACTCACTCCACACTCAAATTTTGAAATCAAACACGGAAAAAGCGATTCTCTTCTCCGAGGAAGAAGAAGAAGAAGAAGAAATGGCGGAGAAGCAGAGATGGATTGCGATGTATACGAAGCACCTCAAGCAGAAGCGAAAGGTCTATCACGATGGCTTCCTTGATTTGCATATCGCCAGAAAAAAGGTTTTTCTTCACTCATCGCTTCCGATTCTTCGTATAAATCCACTAGATTATTTGGATTTTGGTGGAATTTTCTTCATAGTTTACTCGGAATTCAATCTTCGTTTTCCGATTTCAAAGATCTGTCATAGTTTCAGTTTAATCGGCGATTTTTTCTTTTTTGATTTTAGTGGAGAAATCTTTGGTGATTATCCCTAATCTTTCTCGATTCCGAGATTGATTTGAGGTTAATTGGATTGTCTTTTAACTTGTGAATGTTGATTTGTTAATAAAATGATACAAATTATGCTTTGATTTTGATTCCAAATTTGATTGATTATCGAATATGAGCTTGTTACATTTGGATTTTGGATTCTGTTATAATGTCAAGAAGAAATCCTGAAAATCAAATTCGATTGATAAGTTTGGTGAATATATGTTTCTCTTATGCTCATTTGTTTAGTAGGTTTTAGAGCTAACCTTGTGAATGTGTAAACAGGTGATGCTTTATGATGAGTCTGATAATCTACTCGAGAGCAGGATACTAAAGGCCGATGAAGTTGTGAACACAGGTGAAACACTCACATTTCAAGCATATCTTGTGGATATATGCGATCCTAAGGACGGAAGTAAAGCTTCATCTGATCCAAAGGTCCAACCAAGTGATCAAGGGTGTGCGCATAAACCATTTGCAGTTCTGAGGCCAAATTTCAAGAAAAGTTCTCTTCATTGTGGTATGATGTCCTGTTATCCCAAATTTCACAATTTTCGCGGGAAAGTGTTTCCTCTTGAAAAGACTGTTCTACTTATTTCCCTTTTTATTCTGGCAGATGAGAGAAAACCTAACCTTGTGAATAAATTTTCTTCAAAAAGTCTCAGCCCATCTCACAATATGATTAGAGGTGAGTTTAGTTGCGTTAGTACTTTTGTATTGACGAACTGTAACTTGCTCATCTACTCCTAGCAAGAACTTTTATTGCCTATTAATCTAATTCCCGTAGAGAGTGAAATCGAGCAATGCAGGCTAGTAATATTCTCCGTCTACAATTTCAGTATTCAAAAAGAGAGAACTGCATAAGTATGGGGCACTGACTCCAGACACTATGAAGTCAACAACAAAAGGTTTGATGCTTGCTTTGATATGTTTATGCAGTTAGCTATTGGAGATAGTGAAAGCAGAATGTCAAACCTTTTCATAGCTGACTTTTGGCACTTTACTAAATTCAAAATTGATGCTTCATCCATCTGATTGTTAGGTGTTGGTAAATATCACGCTGATGGATGAACCATGCTATGTATATCAGTCCTGTATTCAGTATATTGGTATCGTTTTCATCGTGTACCTGCTTGTTGAATTAGATTGACACTTTAATCTCAAGGATCTTCTGGAGTTCGTAGAAAGCTTGTATTATTAATAATTCCATTAGGGAGAAAAATATATTTCCCAAATGTGCTTAACAAAGTTCATGTTAGGGGTATAGTACTCTTTGTTTTGTGTTTTGGCTGTCTTAATCATGAAAACTAAACTGCGAAATAGAAATGCAAAATGTACATGTATACTTATTGGTTTTGTGCATGCTATGACTAACAGCATGTATGCAGGTACTGTACCTCTTGGCTCAGTTGATAAAGAAAGCAATAACCACCCCTTGATCAACTCTCCGTGCACTGGTAAGATATGAGAAATTTACCCACCTCATCTTTTTTTCTTTCTATAATGGTGGTAATTGAAGCGTTTTCTCAGCTAGGTTACAGTATTTGCAAACCATCTTTTCTTCCTTGTCGATGTAGAATTTTTTTTAATCCCAAGCAGATTACTAGATTAGATTTGAATCGTAGAACTCGAGTTTGTAAAACCACATTCCTCAACATTAGAAATATTCCAATCAACTGTTTGATATGACAATATGTTATAATCTGAAAAATCATATCCCCCTTAAAATGGGACTGTGTGAATGTGCAGGAAGGTCTGGTGTAGATTCAAGGTTAGAGAATGATAAGTTAAGCAAGGATGTTCCTCCACAGAAGCCTTTACGTGATGGTAAATATTCATTTAAATGCTTGTGTTTTACTCCATGCGGTTTCTTCATAACACCATTTCATGAGAACATTACATAAACAAGCTTTTTCTTTTCATTGCAGTAAATCAGATACTCTCCATTCTTCAGAGACGGAATGCTACAGAGACATGTTCTGATAATAACCCGCAAACATCAGTGTCTTTAACAAAAGTACTTCCAGAATCTGAAACCAGCAAAAGACACAAAATGGAGTCTGTTTCAACGAAAGGTAACTCCAGAATTTTAACATTTTAGACTTGTAAAGCTTAATTGAATCTAAGTATAAATAGTTAGCCATTCAGAATACAAAACTGTAGTTATAGTTATTTTTGGTTATATATGATTTTATTGTTGAAATCTAAAAGAAACTCATTACTACAAACAATTCTTCTTTTGCCTATCTGAGTTGCAGCAACATCTACTGAACAAGTAATGGTGCAAGAAACTTCATCGGCCAGCACAAGAGGTTGCTTAATGAGTGATCCTCCGAGTTTTGACCTCGGATTTTAAACCGCCCCCTGACGATATCATTTACATAATTAGGTAAATCGTTTTTTTCATTTTACCTCAAGTCGCTTCATGGACTACAGATTTTTTCGAAAATATAGTTTTTCACTCTAAGCTGTGTTAAAATCAAAACTAGTAAGTATGTACGGTGGAATAAGTATGTAGTTTAATGCATAAGCAGAAATTAGTAAGGAAATTGATTGGTTTATGTTGAACCTTGCGTCCAAGTTAACTACTAAATAATAAAGTAGTAATTCATAACACAAATAATTAGTCTCCACTAAATTCTCTTACGGGGGTGTATTGGACTTAGTATTTTTGGTGATTTGCTGGAATTTATAAATTTTAGATTTTTGAGAGATTTGAGTAAGTTTTTAGGGGATTTGGTTATTTGTTAGAGTTTTTAGATTTAAAAAGTAAAAATGATTGGTAATTTGGTGAGATTTTATAATTAAATTTTGGGTGATTTTAGAAACAAATGAAAATTTTAGCAGTTCCATGACTCATTTCTCTTACTAGTTTTTCTCTTCAAAGTTCGTAGAACATAACCCAAACAGATAAAAAGAAAAGAAAACTTCATTACTTTGTGAAATCATACATGTCTGACATGAGTAGTTCTTCCAAGCTCTTACATGTACTAACCTAATTCTACAGACAGAACAGAACAATCTTAAAGAATGCTAATTGCAGTTTGATGCGGCTAAAACAAAACATAAAATCATGCCTGAGATAATGTAGAAAATATTTGAGTGTTTTTAAGCTTGAAATCGTGTCTGTTTTTTTCACGGTTTGCCATGTAAGTCATATAGATTGTCCATACATTCCAAAAGCTCTCCATGAGTTAAAAAGTTCTCTGAAAAACAGAACGGAAGAGTGTCAAGAGTTCAATGGGGCTATGATTTGCTGTGACTTACAAAGAAAATGAGCAGATGAGTTTAACCAAAAACAGAAGTAAGAAGACACATAAACCGCTTTTGTAAACAAGAACAACATATAAGACATAAAAACCACCATTTTCTATGTTTAGAGGATGCATAAAATATAAAGTGACGACATAAATAACTAGTTGCAGTCACAAACTCTACAAACATTCACTCTTTCTCTATAAACAAAACGCTTCCTAAGTTACTTGCAGCAAAGTTTTAACCACACGTGCATTAAACCAAGAACCAAACCAACAGACACTATCCCATCAAAATTCCCATAAAACTCAATATGCTATGACAACGTTCAAGAGCATAACATTAAATCATTTGTTCTAGCATGTAAACATGATCAAGAAATAAAGGAAGATGAAGGGATACACATTTTCTCAAAGAAAGTCCACAGATGATGTCATGATGACTTTCTTCCCCTGAAATCACAAACATTAAAATTGAAATTCCCATATGAATCGAAATTGTCAGAAAAGAGAGATTCTAACCTTGAAGATATCTGTCAATGGTGTGTTGAAGAATTTGGAGGAAACCCCTTCGTCCCAGCTGCGAGTTTTCTGGAGAGAAACGCCATGCGCAGCCGAGCTTATGTCAATAACCTCCGAAAGCTTTGAGAAACCCCTCGAGGCAACTTCGATGTGGCCACTATTTGCGGTCGATCTTAAAGCCGATACATTTGTTAGCTTAGAATTGACTTCGACTTTTGCAATAAATGAACATGAGAAATGAGAAAGAAGCTCACAAGTTGGGAAATTGGTTTCGTCGATGATCCCTTCAAGCGTGTTGTAAACCAATTTACCGTCCATAAGAAACTGTAAAGTATCCTTTCACTGTTGGCTCCCATTTAGCCACCGGACCTTCCTCCGGAGATTTATAATTCTTTCTCTCTTTCTTAGCCTGATCTTTTGTGTGCAATCTCATCGCCACAAACCTCATATCTTCCACAAAACCCTTTGATTCTCCCGGATACTTTAGTGTTTTGTTTCTCCGTTGTTGTAGTTGCCGCAACCACCAACGAAGCTTGACATTTGTTTCTTATGAATTTATCCGGGCACCATCGCCATCGATGAAAAAGATATCGAGACCACTTCATGGTTGCTTCGATTATTGTTTTACGAGACAGTATTTTTTTTCCTACAAATTCTTCACAATTCGACCTTTAGGGGGGTGTATTGGACTTGATATTTTAGGAGATTTTGGGCTATTTTTAAAATTACCTGTTATCCAACTGATGATTTTAAAATCTCTCTTCAAATCCTGTGTTATTGAACTTGAAATTTGTATAAAATCATCTAAAAGAGTTTACAATCTCTTGTTATTCAATCAACAATTTTTAAAACTTATATCAAATCTACTGTTATTCAAAATATCACAAGTTTTTGATAAAAAGTTATAAGAACGGATTCTAGGAGACTTTTTATACTTTTTTAGTTATAAAATATGACTCAAAGAATCACACCTCTAAAGGTCGAATTGTGAAGAATTTGTAGGAAAAAAAATACTGTCTCGTAAAACAATAATCGAAGCAACCATGAAGTGGTCTCGATATCTTTTTCATCGATGGCGATGGTGCCCGGATAAATTCATAAGAAACAAATGTCAAGCTTCGTTGGTGGTTGCGGCAACTACAACAACGGAGAAACAAAACACTAAAGTATCCGGGAGAATCAAAGGGTTTTGTGGAAGATATGAGGTTTGTGGCGATGAGATTGCACACAAAAGATCAGGCTAAGAAAGAGAGAAAGAATTATAAATCTCCGGAGGAAGGTCCGGTGGCTAAATGGGAGCCAACAGTGAAAGGATACTTTACAGTTTCTTATGGACGGTAAATTGGTTTACAACACGCTTGAAGGGATCATCGACGAAACCAATTTCCCAACTTGTGAGCTTCTTTCTCATTTCTCATGTTCATTTATTGCAAAAGTCGAAGTCAATTCTAAGCTAACAAATGTATCGGCTTTAAGATCGACCGCAAATAGTGGCCACATCGAAGTTGCCTCGAGGGGTTTCTCAAAGCTTTCGGAGGTTATTGACATAAGCTCGGCTGCGCATGGCGTTTCTCTCCAGAAAACTCGCAGCTGGGACGAAGGGGTTTCCTCCAAATTCTTCAACACACCATTGACAGATATCTTCAAGGTTAGAATCTCTCTTTTCTGACAATTTCGATTCATATGGGAATTTCAATTTTAATGTTTGTGATTTCAGGGGAAGAAAGTCATCATGACATCATCTGTGGACTTTCTTTGAGAAAATGTGTATCCCTTCATCTTCCTTTATTTCTTGATCATGTTTACATGCTAGAACAAATGATTTAATGTTATGCTCTTGAACGTTGTCATAGCATATTGAGTTTTATGGGAATTTTGATGGGATAGTGTCTGTTGGTTTGGTTCTTGGTTTAATGCACGTGTGGTTAAAACTTTGCTGCAAGTAACTTAGGAAGCGTTTTGTTTATAGAGAAAGAGTGAATGTTTGTAGAGTTTGTGACTGCAACTAGTTATTTATGTCGTCACTTTATATTTTATGCATCCTCTAAACATAGAAAATGGTGGTTTTTATGTCTTATATGTTGTTCTTGTTTACAAAAGCGGTTTATGTGTCTTCTTACTTCTGTTTTTGGTTAAACTCATCTGCTCATTTTCTTTGTAAGTCACAGCAAATCATAGCCCCATTGAACTCTTGACACTCTTCCGTTCTGTTTTTCAGAGAACTTTTTAACTCATGGAGAGCTTTTGGAATGTATGGACAATCTATATGACTTACATGGCAAACCGTGAAAAAAACAGACACGATTTCAAGCTTAAAAACACTCAAATATTTTCTACATTATCTCAGGCATGATTTTATGTTTTGTTTTAGCCGCATCAAACTGCAATTAGCATTCTTTAAGATTGTTCTGTTCTGTCTGTAGAATTAGGTTAGTACATGTAAGAGCTTGGAAGAACTACTCATGTCAGACATGTATGATTTCACAAAGTAATGAAGTTTTCTTTTCTTTTTATCTGTTTGGGTTATGTTCTACGAACTTTGAAGAGAAAAACTAGTAAGAGAAATGAGTCATGGAACTGCTAAAATTTTCATTTGTTTCTAAAATCACCCAAAATTTAATTATAAAATCTCACCAAATTACCAATCATTTTTACTTTTTAAATCTAAAAACTCTAACAAATAACCAAATCCCCTAAAAACTTACTCAAATCTCTCAAAAATCTAAAATTTATAAATTCCAGCAAATCACCAAAAATACTAAGTCCAATACACCCCCGTTAGAGGTGTGATTCTTTGAGTCATATTTTATAACTAAAAAAGTATAAAAAGTCTCCTAGAATCCGTTCTTATAACTTTTTATCAAAAACTTGTGATATTTTGAATAACAGTAGATTTGATATAAGTTTTAAAAATTGTTGATTGAATAACAAGAGATTGTAAACTCTTTTAGATGATTTTATACAAATTTCAAGTTCAATAACACAGGATTTGAAGAGAGATTTTAAAATCATCAGTTGGATAACAGGTAATTTTAAAAATAGCCCAAAATCTCCTAAAATATCAAGTCCAATACACCCCCCTTAATGTACGATGCCAAATTTCTAAGACATTTACATATTTTATTATGAAGCTAAATATAGATAAAGCTAGAATAAAGATGTATCGAAGGAGCTAGTCTTTAGCATGTCCTACAAGTGCGGGTTAACCATAATAACCACAAATCTCTTCTACAAATATTCCAAAATTTCAACAACACAAAAGTAGTTGAAGAAGTTAGCTCTGAGAGAGATAGATAAATTTACATTAATAGAAAGCTACACAAAATATATATAGAAAAGGAAGGTAAATGGCTGGACCGGGACAAGCGGCGAAGCAGTCAAGTGAAGTGCTAGGCCAGCGGAAGTCGTTAGGGATATGTCCGTTGAGAGCGGCAGCGGTTGGAGCGGTGATAATCGGTGGACTTGGCTACATGGTTTTGTACAGCAAGAAGAAGCCTGAAGCTTCAGCAGGTGATGTCGCTAAAGTTATGTCAGGCGTTGGTGGGACTCCAGAGAACACTCGTCCTCGTAACTGAGCTTCTTCTATATAATTTTTTTTTTTACTTTCAAATCAAGGGATCGTTATCTTTGTGATTGATATATATAGTTGAATTCTCTATACATTTGTTATATTTGAATCTTTAGGTGACTTAATCTTACTCTAAATTTTGATGTAAAACCTTTAAATTCAGTGATTTGATGTTACAAAATCTTCAAATAGTACAACCGTCTGTACAACAATGTAGCGATGGATTTCATAAATTTTTCGGTATTCCTCCACGGAATATTGAGTTTTGACATCTTAGAAGTAAATTATAAAACTATTACCTTCTTTAAAATTATTATATTTTATTTTATTTTTGTTGGTTAGGTGAATCATTTCAATTGGGTTCTAATGAACATTTTTAAAAAAGAATGGAAAAAAACCAACAAATCTTGCATGAATTTACTTACAAATTTTCTTTCATACATTAAATTTTTTAATTTATTCTGTAATTTGTTTTTTCTTTTCTCAACTATTTTTGCTTTTATAATTTTTTTTTTTGAAACAAGTATGTCTAAAATGTATACATAGTTGGTCTTAACATTTTTTCACTTAGTCATTTATATTCATGAAATTTACTCTAAATATATGCTTTTTAATATAGGAAATAGAGTCTTACTTTACTTTTATTGGACCATGACTCCAAATATATGCTTTTTAATCTTATAATAATATTTAATTTTGAAATTAATGTAATATTAATTCTTTAATTTTGATTTAATTACCATTACTATCTTTAAATTAATTATTATTGGTTATAAACAGATTACTTAATCCATATATATATTAACTCTGTTTCCATATTGAAAATTTAGCTTTTCATACGAAACTATATAATTTGGTGTTAGTCATAATAGGAGAAAAGTTTTAAAAGTGATCTGTTTTATGAGATCTCAGTAAAAGAAGTAACAATATTTTTAACAAAGACAAATGAAAGAGCTAATATTTGGTTTGTTTATGTATTCCATTTATACATTAACTTGAGAGCACCGGTTGGATTATTACGTACCCATATTCCATCGTCTTGCGCTTGCCAGAAACATACGTTAGGCTTCATACCCCCACATACATCATGTATAAAACTCTCTTTCCCAACAAATGCGTCAAAACTCACATGTTGCTTAAAATCAGGTCCCTGAAAGATATTATAGCAAAGATGATCCCAATTTTTTCCAAATAAAAACATAAATATAGAGCGATGAAAGATCATATTAAAGTTAGAGGATTGTAGATCATTTTGATTTTTGACCAACAAATTGTTTCTCATCCACAAAAGCAAAACAATTTATTTACCAACGTATGGGTAAATATAGTTCAGTTACTTACCGTAAATTGTATAAAATATATATATATATATGTAACTATTTAAATCCTATGTAAAATTATTTATCTTCGCGATATAACTATAGAACGATAAGAAAATTCAGATTTTGTAAATGAATGTACTTGTGTTTTTATCCAATGTAAATGAGATTAGCATAATCATATTTTAGTAAAAAACAAGGAAAAAAAACTATTCGTAATGGACAAGATAACAAATTTATTGTAAATATATACATTCAGATTTAAGAACGTGAAAGAACTAGTTTTTTTTTTCTTTTTTAAATTACCTTCCATAAGTTGCACCATACCAATGTCTTAAAATCAAGTCTTATACGAACTTTGAACACACCACTGAATGCAAGAAAAACAACCTGGGTCGATTGCTCACCAGATCTACACTGGACCATAAGTTGTTTGTTACCCTCAAGATGATTTGAAATTTCAATGTTAAAACGTCTAAATACAAGAATAGAGTCTGTTCTTTGGATTGAAAAGGCGAACAAGAGGCAATATACTATAATTTTTTCTATCATTGTTTTTTCTTTCTATATGTTTTTGTCTTTTACATGACTTAGATATATATACATATGTCACATTTGTTGATATATTTAATTTCATTAGTTTTCTTCTCTCTTATATGGTCAATGATATCCTATCATTTATTTTTAATATATGTTTCTTTAGAAAATCATTTATCATTTATTTAATGAAAACATACAAACATATCTTGAATTAATTTACTTGCAAAATATTCTTTAACACATTTAGATATTTTAATTTACTTTGTAATCCTTTCTATTGTCAACTATTTTTGATTTTTAAGAAATCTTTCGTTTTGAAACTATAGCATATCTAATGTACAAATAGTTTTTTTCTTATATAACATTTGTTCACATAGTCAATTTTATTAGTGAATTAGTTTTATTAAGGAAACTTATACTTTTAAGTATTCATTTATTTTGTCAAAATTTCACCATATACAATATACAAAAATAGAGTTTATAAGTTTATCAAAAATGACTCTCTTTTAATATATAGAGGACATAATGTATCTAAGCCAAATGATTTCACAATGATAGTGACTGTTTATATCACTGTGATTGATGAGCAAATGATTTCACATCTATTTTTTTTTACCGCACAAAAAAAATGTGTAATAGTTTCATGTCAAAAAATAAAATAAAAAAAATGTGTAATAGATTCAATAAAAGTTAACATTGAGGTAAAATAACCAACCCCAAACCCCAAACATGTAAAGTCCATTAACGATTATACTTTGATTAAAAATTAATTAAATAATGATTAACGAACAAAAGAGCTCTCAAGTCTCAATTCAAAAAAAAAAAAAAAACAACAACAAAAGAGCTCATAGCAGTTCGAGAGGTCATCGGTTCGTACCGGTTGGGCCCTTTTTTATTTTTTCGTTTTGTAAATATGATACAAAATCTTTGGTTCATCAAGAGGTCACCGGTTTGTACCCGTGAATGATTTAATGAAAATAGTAACTGGTTAATGATATATACTTATTAAAATTTAATAAGGTAACGGATCTGATATTCCTTCACTACCAACCCAAATATAGTCCTACAATAAAATTATCCATAAGTTGAAAAAAAAAAAAAACAATATAAGAATGATGATGTTCCTAATGTAATAACTTAGTTATTGCATAGTGCAACTCCAAAATTAATAAATGAAAATCAAACACATTATTGGTTCATCCCCACGGGTCATATTAACTATTTGTCCTTATGTATTCATACATATATTTCTTGTATTATGATAAGATTTTTGTACATATTATATTTGTATATATGTGTATTTCTATAAGTACAATAAAAATAATCACTTTTAGTCTATCCAGAAGATATTCAGTTCAAATATTTGCTATATTGCTGGCAATTTTTATAAGATTTTTATCTAGAAAAGAAACATAACATGAATGCAAGAGAACGAAAAAAAGACAAATTTTTAGAAAAAATGAGTTTTAAAGAATGAGGATAAGGTAATATTATTATACACAGCGCGGAGTATCACATGCAATGCAAGTAGTGATTAAGAGACAACGAAGAGACTGTTTGATCAATCCTTGTCTGAGAGTTACTCTCTATTTAGTATTTATAAACTCCTTCTTGAACCAAGAACATGTTGGATAATTGAGGGAGATTGAAGAACAGAGTAAGAGATAATATCTCTTCTCTTTTGAAGAAGACAAGAACGAAAATAGAAAATTTTAATTGAACTGAAACTTGTTATTTTATTAAGACAAGACATACACATTTATATACATGTTTACGTAACTCCTCTATGTAACCCTTGGTAACAGTTGTAACTTCTTCGACAAGTTACGTCTCTTACTCACACCCGTTCGTAGTAAGTCACATGTAACACATGACAACCTTTGACTTTACATACAAACTAACACATATGATATTAGAAGATTTAATAATGGACTCAATTCTAACAGAACAGTCATATCAAACTCAAAATTTAGTTTTAAACTCTCTGATTCTTTCTTTTCTTCTCTCATTTTTAGTTTCTGTGAAGATGGGGAATTGTTCGCAAAGAGCAGTATCCGATGGTGGTGGTTCGGTTACTGTAATTGCGACAGATTCAAGAAACATCATGGAAGAATATTACAAAAGCCGGAGATGCAGCTCGTTGCCAATAACTAGGGAGAAAACCCTAGGGTATCTTGTTAGACAAGGTACAACAAGCCCTAGAGGAGTACTTGGGCCAAAGATACAAGTGTCACCGCAAAGAAGAAATGGTGTGTGGAAGGCGAAAGTTGTGATCGGAACTATACGCCTCATTCTCGGAGAACAGCTACAATAGAGATTGTTGAGGTTTATGTCACTAAGAAAGCTGCCATGAAGAAGATTATTGAGAACAATAAGCAGAGGCTGTCATTGACTACAGATATACGGGTTTGTCCCAATACTTCAGCTAGTTATATGGTAGTAACAGCTCACTTTATTGATATATGTGGGAGTTGAAGAAGTTGATAATAAGCTTCAAGCATGTAGAAGATCATAAGGGTCAGACAATATGTGATACTCTTATGGCTTGTTTAGCTGAGTGGAGTATAAAGAGAATATTCTGCATCACTGTTGATAATTCTACAGCCAATAGTACAGCTATGACCAAATTCAAGAAAGAAATGCTGCGGGTGTATGGAAGTGAAGCTTTGATACTTAAAGGTGAGTATTTGCATTTGCGGTGTGCTACTCACATTCTGAATTTGGTGGTGAAGGAAGGATTAACAGAGATTGATAGCTGTGTGGCTGCTATTCGCAATGGCATCACCTATGTGAGGTCTTCGACACATAGACTGAAATCTTTTGATTTTAGAGTTGAAACAGGGAAGCTGCAAAGGGGAAGCCTACCTTTAGATGTCAAGACCAGATGGAATTCGACATATCTCATGCTAGACCAAGCTCTAAAGTTCAGAATAGCATTTGAGAGGATGGAGGCTGAGGATAAACCATATAATGATTACTTTCTGGAAAAAGAGGATGGAAAAAAGAGGATTGGACCAGCTGTGAGAGATGACTGGGAGAAAGTTGACAGGTTAGTTCAGATTCTTGAGATTTTCTATAAGTCCACATTGGTTCTTTCAGCTTCAAACTATGTTGCAGCTCATAAACTCTACAATGAGATAGTCTCCATTACTAGAAACCTAGGTGCATTAAGATACAATGATGATGCCCTAAAGAATAAAGCCGAGGCTATGTTAGCAAAGTTGGGTAAGTATTGGGATGCATTTGGGGAGAAAGTTGAAATGAATAGGCTTGTGATAGTGGCAAGTGTGTTTGACCCGAGGAAGAAAATGAAATTTGCTGAGTTATGTTTTGAAAGGCTATATGGTAAAGGTACTGTGGAGGCTACTCATCTTTCAGATTCAGTTTATGGCATCATCACTGATTTGTATGATGAGTATACAAGAAACAGTTTAGCTAATAATACTGGTAGTGGTAGTAGTACTACTGGGTTATCTACTCAGTCAGAAAATGCATGGAGCCAGAGTCAGTCTCAGTCTCAAGATAAAGGTGTAAGTGATTTTTCTGAGAGACCAGTTTTGCGTAATGGTTTTTTATACTATCTTTAAATTAATTGTTATTGTTTATAAACAGATTACTTAATCCATATATATATTAACTCTGTTTCTATATTGAAAATTTAGCTTTTCATAAGAAAATATATAATTTGGTGTTGGTCATAATAGGAGAAAAGTTAAAAAAAAAAAAAAAAAAAGTGATCTATTTTATGAGATCTCAGTAAAGGCAGTAACAATATTTTTAACAAAGACAAATGAAAGAGCTAATATTTGGTTTGTTTATGTATTCCATTTATACATTAACTTGAGAGCACCGGTTGGATTATTACGTACACATATTCCATCGTCTTGCGCTTGCCAGAAACATACGTTAGGCTTCATACTCCCACATACATCATGTATAAAACTCTCTTTCTCAACAAATGCGTCAAAACTCACATGTTGCTTAAAATCAGGTCCCTGAAAGATATTATAGCAAAGATAATCCCAATTTTTTCTAAATAAAAACATAAATATAGAGCGATGAAAGATCATATAATGATATAAACAATAGAGGTTGCAATAGTTATTGTAGATGCTCCAAAACAATCCGTTTGAAGAGTAGAATATTTTTGACCAACAAATAGTTTCCCGTCCACAAAAGCAAAACAATTTATTTACCAACGTATGGGTAAATATAGTTCAGCTACTTACCGTAAATTGTATAATATATACAGGGCCGGTTCAAAATTATTCGAGACCTTGTGCTAATGTATAAAAATTGGCTTTTCAATAATAAAGTTTTTTAAATAGTGAAAATTTTGGACCCTAAATCTTAAAGAAATTTGAATTTTTTTTGGAGGATCCTGTGTTTTTGCTCCTCTGCACACCCTTAGAGCCGGCACTGAATATATATATAACTATTCAAATCCTATGTAAAATTATTTGTCTTCGCGATATAACTATAGAACGATAAGAAAATTCAGATTTTGTAAATGAATGTACTTGTTTTTTATCCAATATATATATGAGATTAGCATAATCATATTTTACTTAAAAACCAAAACTATTCGTAATGGACAAGATAACAATTGTAAATATATACATTCAGATTTAAGAATGTGAAAGAAGTTTTAAAAAAAAAAAAAATTACCTTCCATAAGTTGCACCATATCAATGTCTTAAAATCAAGTAATATAGGAATTTTGAACACACCACTGAATGCAAGAAAAACAACCTGGGTCGAATTCACACCAGATCTACACTGGACCATAAGTTGTTTGTTACCCTCAAGATGATTTGAAATTTCAATGTTAAAACGTCTAAATGCAAGAATAGAGTCTGTTCTTTGGATTGAAAAGGCGAACAAGAGGCAATATACTATAATTTTTTCTATCATTGTTTTTTCTTTCTATATGTTTTTGTCTTTTACATGAATTATAAATATATAGATATATATATATATATATATATATATATATATATATTGTCACATTTATTAATATATTTAATTTCATTAGTTTTGTTCTCTTTTATATGGTTAATGATATCCTATCATTTATTTTTAATATATGTTTCTTTAAAATATTTAAAATAATGAAAACAAACAAACAATCAAATCTTGAATTAAATTACTTGCAAAATTTTCTTTAAAACATTTAGATATTTTAATTTACTTTGTAATCCTTTCTTTTGTCAACTATTTTTGTTTATTTTTAACAAATCTTTCGTTTTGAAACTAGCATATCTAATGTACAATATAACATTTGTTCACGGAGTCAATTATATTAATGAATTAGTTTTATTAAGGCAACTTATAGTTTAAGTTTTAATTTATTTGTCAAATTTTTATGATATACAATATAAAAAATAGAGTTTATAAGTTTATCAAAATTGACTCTCTTTTATCCCTTTAATATATATATAGAGGAAATAATCTATGTAAGCCAAATGATTTCACAGTGATAGTGACTGTTTATATCATTGATTGATTAGCAAATGATTTCACATCTATTTTTTTTTACCGCAAAAAAATTGTGTAATAGTTTCATGTCAAAAATTTTTTTTTATGAAAAATGTGTAATAGATTCAATAAAAGTTAACAAAGGGTAAACTAACCAGCTCAAACCCAAACCTGTAAAGTCCATTAACGATTATACTTTCATTAAATAATGATTAACGATAAAAAAAATGATTAACGATTACACTTTCACTAAGGGCTTGATTGGTTCTCCCGCTAGCACCCTCCTAGCGGTTTCTAGCGGTTGGTTGCGGTTGTTAGCGGTTAGTACCAATCATAGAAACCGCTCCGTATCGCTTCGAACCGCTCGAAATCGCTGAATTTCAAAAGCTCCTTCCCGCAAGCGTTTGCGGTTGCGGGCGGAAGCGGTTGGATTAAAAAAAAAAAAAAAAAAAAAAAAAAAAAAGAAAAAAATCAAACATTTACTTATAATTATTATAATATATATTAATCCTATATATATCTTTCATCTTTGTATCACGTTCTCATCAGAAACCCTAATAATATTCTGAAACCCTATTCTCTCAATGTCTTCCACCCAAACTAATGAAAATCAATAACCAAACGTAAGTATCATATATCTTTTTATTCATTCATCACCTCATGTGTAACTTTTTGAATATTTTTCATGGCATCGTTTTTTTTCTTTTCATTACGTATTGCTTTTCTTTTTGATTGAATATATGTTTCGATTTGTTTTCTCGAATAGAAATTCACTTGCTTTTTGATTGAATTCAACGTTATTTACAATTTGTCCCATTACTTGATGCAATTTTTGATGTTAAACCAGATGCATAAAGTACTATCTTGTTACAAAATTTTTTTATTTTTGAATAATTATTTAGTACTTTATTTATGGTTTTAATTATTAAGCATGTTCAATTTTCTAATATTATCATAATAATATATTGGTGTTTTTATTTCTTTTTTTTGTAATATTTTTTTATTTATTTTGGTCATTTTTTATTTTACTGCTACCGCACCCGCTGGTTTACCAGTCATAAAACTCCCGCAAACGCACCCATTTTCAAATGCTAAACCAGTCGTTCAAAACACTTGATAACGCTTGAAGCCGCAACCGCCCGCTTCCGCAAACTCCCGCAACCGCAACCGCAACCGCTGCGTTTAAACCAGTCAGGCCCTAAATAATGATTAACGATTAAAAAAAAAAGATAAATAAAAAAATAAAATAAATAATGATTAACGAACAAATGAGCTGTCAATTAAAAAAAATACGAACAAAAGAGGTCATAGCTCAGTGCCTCAGTGGTAAAGCATTGGACTGCAGTTCGAGAGGTCACTGGTTCGTATCCGGTTGGACTCTTTCTCATTTTTCCGTTTTGTAGATATGATACGAAACGTTTGGTTCGACCAGTGGCTTTCGCTCATCTATTTTAACCCATGAATGATTTAATGAAAATAGTAATCGGTTAACAGATATATGCCTATTAAAATTTAATAAGGTCACGGATCTGATATTCCTTCCCTACCAACCCAAATAGTCCTACAACAAAATTATTCATAAGTTGAAAAAACAAAAAAGAAACAATATAAGAATGATGATATGTTCCTAATGTAATAAGCTAATAGCTTAGTTATTGCATAGTGCAACTCCAAAATTAATAAATGAAAATCAAACACATTATTGGTTCATCCCCACGGGTCATATTAACTATTTGTCCTTATGTATTCATACATATATATTTCTTGTATTATGATAAGATTTTTGTACATATTATTTTTGTATATATGTGTATTTCTATAAGTACAATAAAGATAATCACTTTTAGTCTATCCAGAAGATATTCAGTTCAAATATTTGCTATATTGCTGGCATTTTTTATAAGATTTTTATCTAGAAAAGAAACATAATATGAATGCAAGAGAACAAAAAAGACAAAATTTTAGAAATATGAGTTTTAAAGAATGAGGATAAGGTAATATTATTATACACAGCGTGGAGTATCACATGCAATGCAAGTAGTGATTAAGAGAGACAACGAAGAGACTGTTTGATCAATCCTTGTCTGAGAGTTACTCTCTATTTAGTATTTATAAACTCATTCTTGAACCAAGAACAGTCAAATCAAACTCAATATTTAGTTTTAAACTCTCTGATTCTTTCTTTTCTTCTTTCATTTTTAGTTTCTGTGAAGATGGGGAATTGTTCGCAAAGAGCAGTATCCGATGGTGGTGCTTCGGTTACCGTAATTGCGACAGATTCAAGAAACATCATGGAAGAATATTATAGGAGCAGGAGATGCAGCTCGTTGCCAATAACAAGGGAGAAAACACTAGGGTATCTTGTTAGACAAGGTACAACAAGCCCTAGAGGAGTACTTGGGCCAAAGATACAAGTGTCGCCGCAAAGAAGAAATGGTGTTTGGAAAGCGAAAGTGGTGATCGGAAGTAAGCAGCTTGAAGAGATTTTGGCGGTTGAAGGCAATACACATGCTTTGATTGATCAGCTCAGGTTTGCTGCAGCAGAAGCTTTAGTTTCTTCAACCTCTGCCTCGGACATGGTCAGAGTTAAAAGCTTATCGTCCAAGTCCCGGAAAAACAATGAGAACTACTTCTGTTAGGTTCGATGATTGCGGGTATTTTGCAGGGTTTCTCATTTGTATTCCTAGCAAAAGGTGTATATTGTACATAATGTAAATTCATTTGAGAAATGACAAAAAATATAAATACATTTGGTTCTGTTTGATACAGTTTCGGTTCAGTCTGATTTGGTTTTCTATTAGATGGTTTTGTACTTCGGTTTAGAGTTTTTGGAACCGGTTAAAGCAAAATGGGTACTACTACTTACTCAGTACTCAGGATAATAGCTCGTTAACTGAGTCCTCGAGAGGAAACACATTACGACCAATTCAAGAGACAAAAAAAAAACACAGTTACATGAGACCAGAACATTCGAACTACTAATTAAGAAGACACACATGTTTAGAGATAAGTATCATCACATGTTCTTCATTCAGACACGCGATTCCATTTTCCTGACAGCATTTTCGATGGCTGGAATGTTTTTCTTGAAGGTTGACCATTGTTCATCTGTTAAACTTATTCCTGAAGGAACATTATAACATATCAGAGACTGGAAATGAATCAAAAATATTCTCAGTATTGTCCATTATGAGAAAAATGGTTGTCCTTTTTTACCTATAATATAGAGAAGAAAAGATAACTATATTCAAACCCAAATTACAATTCTCATATAAATAAAACCAAATCTATACTAGGACTTACCCAAAATAAACTAAAAGATATCAAGACTTGCTCAAATTCAAATACTTGAAAACTATCAAAATGGTTTGAAAAAAAAAGAAGAGACTTAAAGATGTATCAAAAGCAAGCTTAAGAGGATGATGTTAGATAAAATTACGACAAAAATCAACTGACGAATTGTTTGAAGTCATATAACTCTCAACTTTCCAAGAAAAGAATATACTAATAAACACATTTCAGCCAAAATGGTTTCTACTTTCTAATCAGCAAAGCTTTAAGTTTTTAGTACTAGAATGAAACTTAACACACCCAAAACACTACTACACTAGCAACTCTTAATCCACACAGACTTCAAATTTCGAGATTATGAACACAAAGCACTTTGATGCAACTCAAAAGTGGAACTTCAAAGAAACATTTTCACATAAACACACAAATGGCAGAAGCATTTGGACACACAAATTGAAGAATTTGGTTCTACAATTTCGGTGTTTCGACAAATTGTTTTAGAAGTAAGAGAGCTATCAAGTAAGTACCTTTAGAAGTAGGAAGTTCTTTCCCATCTTTCTTGTAATACTCTCTAATAGACACCAAAGTCTTTCCTTTAAATTCCTGAATCGTCACTCTTCTCTTATCTGATAGCTAACAACACAAATCCACAACAAAATCATAACTCAGTCACACAATTCAAAACACAACACATGCAGCTAATTCACAACCTCTGCTTCCTAAAACAAACATCGATTAGAGCAAAATCGAAAAATCGATTCAGCACAAAATCGAAAAATCGATTCAGCACAAAATATCAGTCAGAATTCAGAACACTAATGCAAAAGCTCTGCTTCAAAAACATCGATTGAGTAGAGACTATTAGCTTCTCTAATAGGCCAAGTTAAATCACATCAAATCAAAATCAATCCAATTTCAAGCAAAATCGAGAATCGAATTCAAGAAAGAGCAGTGAAATCAAAACCAGTGACAATTCAGAACACACCATTTCAACTAATTCACAAGCTCTGCTTCACAAAAATCGACTATCATCTCCTCTAGAATTCCAAATTCATTAACCTCGAATCAAAATCAATCCAATTTCAAGCAAAATCGAGAATCGAATTCAACAAAGAGCAATGAAATCAAACCCGACAAATGATAAGATCGCCGTCATCATCAAACTCTTTGTTTCCTTTACCACAATCCTTATCTCCATCTTCTTCTCCTTCTTCTTCTTCTTCTTCCTTATTCACTTGCGATTTTTCATAGTCTCTCGCTCTCTCTTCGTGAAGGAATTTCTCCACGACACTTCGTACAAATGCTTTGTGAGATTTCTCAGAGAGGTCGATTCCGATTCTCTCCGAAGCAAGTTGACGAACCTTGAACTCTGTCATCTCTTTCATATCTGATTCATTGAGTATCTCTCTAACCGTTCTCTCGATCTTCTCTTTCGTCTCTTTCGTCTCTTTCTCCATTTTAGGGTTTATTTCTCCGTCGTGATTTTGAAATCGGTGAATGAGTTTACTTTAACTAAATCGGGTAATCGGAGATTTTTTCTTTGGGACTTATGGGTAGCTTTTTTGGGTATAATACGGTGTCGTTTTATTGTTTCGGTGATCCTACGTGGCATCTCGAAAAGTTTGCTTACGTTAACCAAAATCTAAACCAGAGTAAAAGCTGACAATCAGTTCGGTACGGTACGGAGTTAAATTGCGTAACCAATATCTGAACCGAAAAGTAGATTTCTCTTATCTTATCTAATCTACTCAATTATTGGAACTGTAAAGCTATATAGGTTTATATATCTACATATACATTTTTGCAGGGATTTTTTGCTTTTAATCATTTGGATCCGGGTTTTACCCGGTTTTATATTATCCGGATCTTGAATAAGCAATTTAAGGAAATTTTTAAACAAATCGACTTTAAAACGACCTGATTTTATGGCAATCGGGTATAAGTATAACACTAAAACATTTATTAAAACGAAATTAATTCTTTTATTATCCATATTTAAGTTACCTATTTTAATCCTAAATAATCTTTCATATTAATGCTCCTAATAAATAGCCGTTTTTAATGGAAAATTGTTTTTCATATTAATGCTCATAATAAATGTCCAGATTTTAACAATATATACGTATATTATGAAATTAGAAAGAAAAAACAGATTTATTTTTTATATAAGAAAAAAATCCTTGACATAATAAATATATAAAATGTAGATATATTTATATACATATATATCAAAATCTATCACCAGCTTATTATATATGGTAATTGATATATTCTTACATTTTTAAAAAAAAATCTCATTATTATTTGTTTGTTTTAATTTTCTTTAAAAAAAATTTGTATGTTATTAAATATGTGTAAATATTCTAATAATAAGTTACATAATTTTAGTTTATAATAACAGATGAAATATGGAAATTCTCCATTTAAATTGCAATAAATTTAAAATCAAAATAGCAATTAATATATACATTCATAAGGAAATCATAATAAAATCTGATTATTTGACGATTATATTTCCTAATCTTCACAATATATTCCATCACATAATCCGTAATTGTGTTTTGATATAGTTTGAATATCTAATATTAAATTTCTACCGGATTCTCAAAATATCTTTTATAATAAATGTTTACCAAAACCAATTCAAAAAATATATGGTTTTTGACGATATTCTAGGAAAAAAATTTAAAAGTAAAATTAAGATATTTTTGTTTGCATCCTAAACCTAAATCCGAACATACTCAATCTCTATAAATACTCCTTTTATTCATTAGCCGAATTCATCACATCCCTATGTTTACCGTAATCGATCATTTGCATCATCAAATTACCTCTTCCTCATTTTTTTTTTATCATAGTTGTTCATCTATATCATAGTAGAATTTATAATTTGCATTTTTTGTTATTTTTGAATTTGCATGCAAATTATTTATTATTCTCACTGTAAAGTACATATTGGCGTAGCTAATCTGTTATACTATTCAAAAAATTTGTTGCAAATTTTCATTTGAGCGATTTGATTTATTTTGATTTATTGAGTCTTCTTGAAAAGCAAAATTTTAGATGTCTAATTTTATTTTTCTTCTAGAATTGATGGAGTTTTTCTCAATCTGTTTGGTTCTCTCTATTCTCAAAGATTCTAAAATACTCAACAAATGTAGATCTTGTTAGAATAGGATAATTACATTGATCATTATCACTTTATCCTTTTCTCTTAAAGTGGCTTGGCCACCAAGTTTTCTCCCCCTATAAATACTTCTCGTGAGAAGTAGAAGTGATGTATGTAGAAAAACAAAAGTCAATACACTTTACTTTCCATCTCTCTCGTCTCTCACTTCTCTCTTCTTTTATATTTCTTGTTTTAGTATTTTATTTCAACACGTTATCAGCACGACCGACTCTCGATCCGTTAGCACGAGCGACTTTAGATCCGTTATCGGTTTAAGGTAACATTTAAATTATGTAAAATTTATTTAAATTTATGTATATGTTATTATTTGTTATTTACGGAGTAAAAGGCTATGCTTTCTTCCTGATCATAATGGTAGGCTCTGCCTCCTTGATCGTATAATAAGATCTACATCTTTTGATCATAATGGTAGGCTCTGCCTCCTCGATCATATGTTCAGATCTATATTTTTGGATCAAATGGTAGGCTCTGCCTCCTCGATCCTATGAAAGCTATGCCTCTTGTACAATCATATGGATGACTATGTCTCCTAAAATGATTGTTTTAATTTATGCTTTTATTATAACTTATAGTATATAATTATTTTTAAATTTATTTCATGTTGCTTTATTTCTAAAACAAGATTTTGCAAAAGTTTTTCAAAAATTTATATTTAACAAATTGCTTTATTATTTATAGTTATCATGTCGAATTTGGCAAAACTTGATATCGCTGCCCTTGATGTTTCTGGAAAAAATTATATGACTTGGGCATTAGATGCAAAAATGTATCTAAAAGGGAATGGGCTTCTCAAAACCCTCGATCCGTCGGAAACGACGTTAGAGGAAGAAAAGGCAAAAGCCATGATGTTTTTACGTCACAATCTCCACGATAGTTTAAAAGATGAATACATCATTAGAGAAAATCCCGCAGATCTCTGGGTCTCTCTCAGAGATAGGTTTGATCACCAGAAATATGTGATCTTACCAAAAGCCAAACATGAATGGCTAAATCTGCGATTTCAGGATTACAAAAGTGTAAGTGAATATAATTCTGCTTTGTTCGGAATCACTTCCAGGATGATTTTATGCGGAGAGACTGTTTCCGATTATGATATGATCGAGAAAACTTTCCAAACATTTCATCCTACAAATGTAATCCTGCAGCAACAATATCGAGCTAGAGGATATACTCGATATTCTGACTTAATGCAAGTCCTTCTTGTTGCTGAACAAAATAATGAACTTATGATGATGAATCATCAAACTCGTCCAACTGGATCAGCTCCACTTTCAGAAGTGAATGTTGCTTCATCCAGTTATAATAATTGGCGAGGACGCGGACGCGGTCGTGGCCGTGGTCGCGGTCGTGGAGGAGGTCGTGGACGAGGAAAAGGAAGGGGTCTCCCTCCCAATAATTTCAACGGCAAGAAAACCAACAAAAATCTTCAAGTGAATGACGCTGGTCGCACTTTGAAGAAACAAGATGAAAGTACTTGTTACAGATGTGGCATGAAAGGACATTGGTACCAGACGTGTCGTATACCAAAACATTTAGCCGATCTGTATCAAGCTTCTCAAAAAGCAAAAGAAAGGGATGTTGAGACCAATCTCATCTCTGATGAAGCTGGACCTTCCTTCCATGGCCTTAATGATGAAACCCATCTTGATATCGCAGATTTTCTCGTTGATCATGAAAACGGGAAGTCAGGCTAATAAGATCGTTATGACATGATATGGTTCTACTAGTATTTTATGTATTTTACGGTTTTAATGCACTTTTAGTTTTAAAAAGTCTTTTTGAATAATGGTTTCTTTGTAATATACAATAAAGTTCTCTTTGTAAGTCTTTATGTTATTAATGCATATTTTATAAATGCTTTATCTCAGAAAATGTCAAATTTTGAGATTGAGGATGGAGATATATGTTTGGCAGACAGTGCTACGACGCACACGATACTTAAAGATAAAAAATATTTCTCCTCTCTCAAAATAAAGGACTCCGCTGGAAGCGTGAGTACCATATCTGGTAATGCAAAGATCATTATGGGCTCTGGAAAAACCATTTTTTTAATGCCAAGGGGAACGAAATTTGAAATTGATGCATTATATTCCCCTATGTCTCATAGAAACCTAATAAGTTTCAAAGATATCCGAAGAAATGGATATCATATAGAGACTATGAATAAGAATGGCATTGAATATCTTTGTATTACATCCGAGGGGAAACATATACTTGAAGAATTGCCAATGTTATCCTCTGGATTATATTGCACAAAAATAAATATGTTCGCATCATATGTTACAGTAAACTCAAAGTTTACTAGTACATTTAAGATTTGGCATGAAAGACTTGGACATCCTGGTTCAGTCATGATGCGAAAAATTGTGCAAAATTCTAGTGGCCATCCATTGAAAAACCAAAAGATTTTTCAATCTAATGAGTTTTCATGTGATGCATGTTCTCAAGGAAAACTCATAATTCGGCCATCGCCAAGCAAAATTGGGAATGAATCTCCATTATTCTTAGAGAGAATACATGGTGATATGTGGACCTATCCACCCTTCGTGTGGGCCGTTTCGTTACTTTATGGTAATAATTGACGCATCCAGTAGATGGTCACATGTGTGTCTATTGACAACACGAAATACGGCTTTCGCGAAATTCATTTCCCAAATAATCAGGTTGAAAGCACAATTTCCTGATTACGCCATAAAGAAAGTCAGGCTTGATAACGCTGGTGAATTCACTTCACAAGCCTTTAATGACTATTGTATGTCAATGGGAATTGATGTTGAGCATCCAGTCCCTCATGTTCATACACAAAATGGCATGGCTGAATCTTTAATTAAACGGTTGCAACTCATTGCTAGACCGTTAATATTGAGAACAAAGCTCCCAATCTCTATATGGGGTCATGCTATATTGCATGCTGCGGCGTTGGTCCAGATACGACCAAGCGCATATAATAAATATTCCCCTTTACAATTAACGTCTGGTCAAGAGCCAGACGTAGCCCATCTCCGTGTTTTTGGGTGTGCGGTTTATGTTCCTATAGCCCCACCACAAAGAACAAAAATGGGGCCACAACGGAGATTGGGTATATATGTCGGTTATGCATCACCGAGTATAATTCGGTATCTTGAACCGCAAACTGGTGATATGTTTACGGCACGTTTTGCCGATTGCCATTTCAATGAAGATGAATTTCCAGCGTTAGGGGGAGGAATTAAACAAGTACCAAAAGATATTACATGGTCTACACCATCTTTAGTATATCTTGATCCCCCTTCAAATCAACGTGAGCTGGAAGTTCAGAAAATTGTACATTTACAAAATTTGGCAAATCAATTACCAGATGCGTTTACAGATACAA